ATTAAACTAATAATTTTGTTATTCACTACAGTGAGAAATTATTTTCAAATGTTATTATGAAAATATATAACAGGATATTAAAATGGACTTTTGAAAAGTAAATTTTTAGTCTTAGAACAGTTTTAGATTTATAAAACTATTACTAAAATGGTACAGAGAGTTCTCCTATACCCTATACCGAGTTTCTCTTATTATTAATATCTTACATTAAGATGGTACATTTGTCACAGTTAATGACCCAATTATTGATACCTTACTGCTTCACTAAAGTCCACACTTTATTCAGATGTCCTCAGTTTTTACCGAAAATTTTTTCTGTTCCAGAATCCCATTCTTAATACACATTACCTTTAACCATCATGTCTCCTTAGGCTCCTCTTGGTCATTTCTCAGGATTTCACTGTTTTTCATAACTTTGACAGTTTTGAAGATTATTGAGCACATATTTTGTAGAATGAAAGGGACTCTTTTAAATTTTATATTTTATTTTAAAACTTTACCTAAGAATTTAAGACACACACAAAATTAGAGAACAGTATAATGAATCCCCATATACCCATGACTTACTTGCAATTACTATCACCAATTTACTAAGTTTATTCTCTCTAAACTGTCCTACCCCCAATCCTGGAGGATTTGAAAGCAAGTCCCAAATATCATTTCATAACACCCTAAAAGATTTCAGTATACACCTCTAATTGATAAGGCCTTTAAAAAATACACCACAATGTCATGATTATATATAACAAAGATAATCCTATAATATTTAACAGTCAACCTGTGTTTGGTCTCAAAAATGTCTTGTTGAACTTTCAAAATCACGATCCTAACAGGGTTTGTATATTGAATTCTGTTGATTTAGAAAATGGGACTTTTGTCTCAGTTTTAGCTGAGACCTGAGACTGAAAACAAAGCACTAGTTATACCCACATTTCAAGATGAGGTACTAGACTACCATGTCATGTAAAAGGGGTATTGAAAACTGGCTTTAAGATCCTTAGCCCAACACCCACCTCGGGCTCGAGACAGGATTTCTTCCAGGAAAGTTATTGGAGGCTGTGGCTTTCTCTCTTCTCCCAGGTCCCACCAAGGGAGAGAAAAAACAGGTGTTTTCCCTTCACTACCTGGTGAAAGGGGTCTTTAAAGGGGTCTTTGAAAGAACCCCTTCTTTTGAGAGCTTGGCATTTACTCCTTGGAGCTAGAAGGGACTGGCATTTGACCCATGACTGCAGAAAGTAAAGAGGAAAGGCTGTGGCTGGAAATACTTGAATGATGCCTGCCAAGAGAGCAGACAGAGGTGGTCACATTCCGAGCAAACTGCACCTTCTATCAGTGGTAGGACAGGGGTATGAGTCCCCACAATTGGATGTAATGGAAAGGAGGAATCTGGTCCTGTGTTTATTTTAAAAGGGATCCCAGCCCACATAGCCTTCTTGTTGGGGGCTAGTCTAAGCAGAAAGGGGTTGGAGGTGTAGTATTCAATACAGAAGTTGGAATGGGGATGTGTGCCCCTAGGCAAAGTATAGACATCATTTACCAAGACAGCAAAGGTCAGGAATTCCTGGTGGGGAAAAGCTCTGAATCCCCCCAGAAAGATTGCTTCAAAAGAATGAATCAGCTTTGAATATCTACCAATCCTGGAGAGCCCACACCGAATTCCAAAAGTACAAGTTCTTTCCAATTCTCATCTAGGCAGAGAGAAACTAAGGCAAGGGGAGGAATCAACCATGCCTAGCCTAACAGTACCAAGCTAGGAGAGGGAAATGACTTTAATGGTAAATGTACTTCTGAGCTTTGAATATCAAATTGGACCGTGATAAAGAAAAATTGGTTCAAACCTGGGACAGAATTTCCTTCTGAGAAGAAATATGCTTTCCTGATAAATTATGAGATTACAGCCTCTTCTGGGAAACTAGCTACTTCTTCATGTGACTAACAGTCTGGTGTCTAATGATTTTGAATCCAGTTTAGTACTAATTATCTAACCATTTCTTTGTCTGTAAAGTATTCCTTCCATGAGGGAATCATGGAATTGGTTTGTTCAGGCCTCTTCAACTGTGGAAGTTAATAGTTTATACTTTGTTGACTCTTTCTCTTTTAACATAATGATTACAAAACTATTTCAGTGGTAGAAATATGTTGATAGATTAAGTAATTTTGGTTGTGCCTGAAATTAATTATACCTTAATATCAAATTTCTGAGAAATCACTCTAGGAATAACTTTCAACTGACCCTTTGTGGTGATGATACAGAGATTTATAGATGAGACCTACTCAGTTCAAACATCATTTGGGTACAGAGACTATATTGTCTGTCCCCATTTTACAAGTTCTATGGCCTGGTCATTAAAAAAAAATTTTTTTTTAATGTTTACTTTTGAAATAGAGAGAGAGCAAGCAGGAGAGGGGCAGAGAAAGAGGGACACATGGAATTCAAAGCAGGCTCCAGACTCAGATGTCAGCACAGAGCCTGATGTGGGGCTCGATCTCACAAACCTTGAAATCACGACCTAGGTTTTAATTTCAATCAGTAACAAAAAGCCTAGTTACCTCAAGTCTATTGCTCAGGTTCCAAAATGAAAACTTTTCTTCTAATTGAGTCATGTATTGTATGTGAAGCACCTGCTTACATTTGTTTGTGTCAGAAACCAAACAGTCATACACTCATGTAGTGTTGGTAGTGGTATATTTAAATTGGTGCAGCCCTTTGGAAAACCATTTGGCAATATGTATCAAGAAAATTACATATTTAAACAGTTTGGGTATTCAAACTTCTAAATAATTTAAAAATATGGGAAGAAAGCTATGTCCATGAATATTTTCCTCACAATATTTTTTATGGTAATGACAAATTAGAAGCAATCTGAGTGTGTAATAGGGACTTAGGTAAATTTATGGTTATACCCACTTAACAGAGTATCATGAAACTAGTAAAATATTCATTCAAAAGACTATAATATGGAAAAAGAAAAAATAAAGGTTGAATTTGTATTATGACTTTACTTAGAATATATGTATAAGAGAACCTACCAATGATAAAGATTGTGTTAGGGTTATAGATTATTTTTTCCTACTGAAAAAAAATTTCTCTATGCAAAGATGTTTCTATTATTTAAAATTAGCTTAATTATTAGTGATATTTGCTTAAAATTTTTACAGTCTTAGTATCACATATTATTGGCAATCCATGCTGAAAAATGTCTGTTTGCTAATGTTCTGTAGTTGGCGGACACAGTAAATTTTTTAGCTAAGCAAATGTCAATTGTTGCTATAGCATTCTAAAATTACAATAAAGCTACATAATAATTGGCAGGGGCACTCTTGGGTAAACGTGGGGAAAAGTCCAAGATTAAGAAAAAGAAAATGTCAAGCTTATCAGTGACAGGATTAGTGGTAGTGACAGGATCTCAACCCAATTTGAGTTTTACTTCTTAGAAGGCACAGTGCTAGTGAAGAAGACACTAATAATTAGGATGAAATCTGGTAAGCACTTGCACAGGCAACTAAAAGGAATAGGGGGAGATTTGGGAATTAGAAGAAGTAGTCTAAATAAAGTAGATCCAAGAGCAAAGATTTACAAAACATTTTTTTTTTTTTTAGTAAATTATTTATTTATTTTGAGAGAGAGACATAATGAGCAGGGGAGGGGCAGAGAGAGAGGGAGACAGGCTTGGCATGTCAGCACGGAGCCCTATGTAGGTCTCGAACTCAACGAACTGTGAGATCATGACCTGAGCTGAAACCGAGAGTCCCATGTTCAATTGACTGAACCACTCAGGTGCCCCTAAAGATTTTTTTTTAAAGGTCAAGGTATGTTCAGAGAGCAGAATAATTCAAAGTGCCTTGACGGTAGGTTACGTATAAACTACAGAATAATTTATGGATGGGGATAAGCAGGTAATAAGAGGTTAGTGAAGGCTGAAGGCCTTCAGTTTTGTTTAGAATGCAATGTAGAAACTCTATAGAGACATCATTGAAAAGAATGGTGTAGGATCTATGTAGATTCTAGAGTGGGCATGGAATAAACACGGGGAAGAGAGGTAGACATAATTGTCAGGTCTCTGTAATAAACCAGGATCTTCATTACATAAAATTACCTGGATTAGCACTTCCAGAATACTGGAATTTTACTTTAAAATGTTTTAACCAAATTCTAACCAACTTTTAGATGATTTTTGGTGTTCTCTACTAGAATTGGCACATAATATTGAATCATATTGTAGAGGATTATTTTAACTCTGTGGCCAGATGCAGAGAAATATGTAAAGGTATTGAAGCCAACAAATTATGTTGAGAAATGCAAATTCTCACAAGTAAAAAAATCTGGAATTCTAGAAGGCAGCAGATTATCAATAGCTGTATCCAGATTCTTCGCAGTGGTGGGTTGCTTTAAATTAAGACTTCATAACAGCTCACCATAAAGTGCATTCTCTAAGTACAAACTGCCTTAACCTTGCAGGCAATTGGGATGTCGCTCAACAATAAGACCATAAAAAAGCTATGTGAGTGAACGGCAGGCAAGAAGATTTCCCCCCCACTCTCCGTTTCCACCAGCATAAAAGAAGTAAATTTTTCAAGTTTCTTATCCCAGAAAATACTACAATCCACTTGAATATGGATTCAGGCCCCAAACCTTTCTGACTCAACAGTAGAGATGAAAATGTGCACACATTATCTTAAGAATTGGCTCAAAATCGCCAAATAGACTTGGCAGTCGCCCAAACATTTAATAAGAATTAACTCAATAACCAAGTGCCCTCAATCAACAAGCTGGCAGATCTTTCATTTCAAAAGCAATCACGTTTGGTTACCAAACTATTGACATCTGGGCACAGCATCCGGCTTTTATTTACCAACACTGAGAAACGAGCCCGAGGTTAATTAAATCGCAGGGAACATGGAACCGGCGGGGAAGCAAGTCAGGTTCCATAAGGGAGGGGAGGGCAAAGAGGGAGGCCTCGGGGCCAGGGACCGAACGGTCTTCCCGTCCAGCGTCCTTAGCTGCCCCCGATCCCAGTACCCGCAGTCTCATTTGCCACCTTCCGACGCGTGACCCCGGCGCGCTCGCGTCCCGGGCTGGTGACAGGCGCGGGGTACGCCGAGAGGTCCCATGTGCCCCCTCCCTTTCCTGGCCGCCGCAGTCGCCGCGTCCCGAACCCCACTCCGGCTCCTCGGCAGAGGACTCGCCGCCATGTCTGCCGCCAGGCGACTCAAATCCGTGGACTACGAGGTGTTCGGGAGAGTGCAGGGTAGGGGACGGCCCCCACCTCCCCGCGGCAGTGGGAGATCAAAGAGGTGTTTTGGGCAGAAGGGGAGAAAGCTAAGAAAAGTGCCTCCCATCTTAAGGACGCCCGCCCCCACCCCCTCCCCACTGTGGCCGGGACTTCCGCTCGGCCATGACACAGCAGCCGCAGATGGGACTGCATCCAAGCGCGCATGCGCCGAAGACCTGGGGTGGGAGAGGAGGGGGAGAGCAGAGAACGCTGTGGGTGTGAGGAGGGGGTGAGGGGAGGTAGAAAGGGGACCGCTGGGCTTTCCGAGCCCGCGGAGTGAGGAGGTGCGGGGCTGGGGGGCGGGCGGAGTGGGAAAGAATAAAGTTGGGTAGGAAATGAAGAGAGGGCGTTTGAACTAGTGGTCTTCGTTTCAAGCCACTGAAATAGGGCTTGAATTTCAGAAGGGACACTTGATGTTTGAGGGTTCGCTTTGCCAGATTACCCTTTCTCCCCTTTCTGTGTAGCTCTTAACAGAATTCAGTTATCTAGTTTTTGTTTCATCAAAAATTTAGTTGCAAAGGATGTAATATTTGGCTGATTTTTACTATTGTTAGTTCAAAATTAAAATGTTAAGTCACTCAGGAATTTATCCAATGGAATATAAATAAGTTAGTGATTTAATAATTGCCATCATTTAAAGTAAAGTTTTTTTTAGCGTTGGAAAATTTTACATCATACCTTTTCCTCTTTGAGTTTGATTTCCATTCCACTTCCCCCACAGAATTTTATCCCATTGTTATGTTTGAGAGTTTGTTATTGATCACCCTGTCAACATTTTTTGCAATATGTATGTACAGTATGTATGTGTATATATGCACATATACATTTAAATATATTTTCTTAATTTCCTATGACCATAAAGCTTTATAATTTTTTTTCTTCTGGCTTGAGTTGCTATTATGATTACTAATAGAATACAGTTCATGTAAATAATAAAACTATACTTAAAAACATGATAAATGTTATTCAATTTAAAAGGAAAAGCTGTACTGAAGACTTATTTCTTAAGGAGACAGCTGGAGGTGTTTATGGAAACTTGATTAAAGAAACTGTACTCTATTTTGGTACTCTAGAGGTTTTTATGCTTTGGGGTGATGCACAGAATGAGATTAAGGGCTTTCCTTTCAAAGATGTTTGTGCAAAGGGCTGTAGGAAAGGAGAACCACCCCAGACCACAGGTGCTTTCTCAGACAGGCCAACACGAGGAAAGAATACATGTGGATATTGAAGATCTGGAAACTGATTTTCTTAAAATTATCTAAGGCCTTGTACCTGTAGTAAGTCTTTGTGTATGCCCAGGGATCTGGTATTCTGGGTTGGAAACTGCCAGAATAAGTCATTTGAAACACAGGACATAAAATATGAAAATATTTTATGACAAAATATTTGGTCATTTGGACAGAAATGGCACTAATTAAGGAGTGTGTGTGCACATGCGCAGGTGTGACATTTATAGGGTATGTTCCATGTGCTGAGTATCTTACTATTGTTAACTTAATCCTTATCACAGTTTTGTGAGAAATATGTCTTATTCCCGTTTCCACAGTGAGAAAACAGATACAGAGAGGTTCACTAACTTAGACAAGTCCTGAGTTGATAAATGGGATTTGATCCTGCATTTCTCAAATTCTAAAACCTGCATGTTTCCATTATGCAGTGTTTTGTGTTAATGCATAATGTATTTCTCTTGATTTTAACAATATAATTGTACTTTTGTGTATGTGGTGGTTATGTGGTATATAATGATCAATTATATATGGCATGTAAAGATCAACTACACATGAAGAGTGGGGTTTAAAAAATCATCTCTAGGGCTAACTCCTATAGTTGTGGTATGTTAAATGGAAGAGTACATGCATACTATTGGTTTATCAAAGCATAGTATATGTGACAAATTCAGAGTCAGATATTTGCACACATATACACTGACATTTGCTGGAACCTAGGATGTGCCAAGTTCTGTACTCAATATTTTACATATATTATCTCATTTGATCCTCAACCCTGTGACCTCAACATTTTCCTCATGTATCAGGTAGAAAAATTGAGGCATAGAGAAGTAACTTTACCAGGTTACAGAGCAAATTAAGTGGCGGTGATAGGAATTGTACCTTGACATTCTGATACCCAAGCCCATGCTCTTAATCACTATAACTCATTGATTCTCCTTTCAATACCTTTTCCACCTTTATTTTGCCTCTTCCTAACTTATGCGCCAAACACACACACATGTATATACTGATACAGGACATTTAGACTCAGCCATTTGGACCAGTCTGGATGACCTGAGGACATTTTTATGGCTTATGACCCTGAGGACTTTTGGCTCCAAGGAAGTTTGACCTGGTCCATAAACAGTCAGATGTTTGACTCTGTCTCTGTTGCTTGGTGACACTGCCACTATTTCTTTATATTAGTCTATATCTTTGTCTCACAAAACCCACAGTTTTCTTACAGATTATGTAAGAAATAAATACAAACCATTAGCCTTTTGTCTAAGTCATAATGCTTATATAGAAATTATTGATAATAATAAAAACAAAATTTAATTTTAATATAAAATGGATAATAATTAGAGGAAACATTTTATTATTTTTTAAATGTTTATTTATTTTTGAGAGAGAGAGAGAGAGACAGAGTGTGAGCAGGGGAGGGGCAGAGTGAGAGGGAGACACAGAATCTGAGGCAGGCTCCAGGCTCTGAGCTGTCAGCACAGAGCCCGACACGAAGCTTGAACTCACAGACTGCAAGATCATGACCTGAGCTGAAGTCGGACACTTAACCAACTGAGCCACCCAGGTGCCCCTAGAGGAAACATTTTAAGATTAAATTTTAATTTAAAAGTATGGAATAATAAAATCTTAGTGAAAGCTGACTTGCTGGAAATAATAGCTATAAAAATAAATTTACAATGGAAGAAGCAACGATTGGGAACATTTTATATGGACACAATTTAGATTGATAAATAAAATTGTCAGTAAAATACTTAAATGGAAAATATTCCCAATGAAGATGGTTTCAATGATATCAAAATGAATATGGAAAATATGGAAAATGATTTAATTATCCTGTCCTGATGGAAAATTGATCAATGAATTAAACTGGCTTAATGGAGTTTATGGACAGAAAATATTTTCCAACCAAAATCAAGGTTTGTTATATGCCTGTTCAGAATGTTTGAATTTAAGGAGCACCTGGGTGGCTCAGTTGTTTAAGTGTCCAACTCTTGATTTCGGCTCAGGTCGTGATCTTGTGGTTGATGGGTTTGAGCCGTGCATCGGGCTCTAGGCTGTCAGTGCCTGTAATTCTCTGTCTCTCTCCTACTCTCTCTCTCTCTCTCTCTCTCTCTCTCTCTCTCTCTCTCTCTGCTCCTCCCCCACACTCTCTCTCTCTCTCAAAATAAATAAACAATAAAAAAAATGTTTGAATTTAACTTGGTGACAAAAGGCAGTCAAAACATTCTAGAGGTCAAAGGTGTTCTGCCTTATTCTCAAATACAGCAAAATTTACAAACATCATATTCTAAGAATTAGTTTATAACTTGGTTGTTTGAAATTCAGGAAAATACACTCATAGAGATATTATTACCAATAGTGGATTCACTTCTCAGGTGGATCTGCAAAGTCTACATGTAGAGCCTTTGGGTGCTGTTGCTTTCCATTGCTGCTTCTCTTCCTCTACCTTTTTTAAAAATAAATCTTTTGTTTTAGAATAGTTTGAAATTTATAGATAAGTTAGAAGATACTATAGGGATTCAGTTACTTCCTTCCTTTGTTGCTTCCTTCCTTTCTAAAATGTTTATTATTTATTTATTTTATTAATTTTTAAATTTTTAAAATTTTAATTTTTAAATTTATTGTTATTTTTTATTTTTAATTTGCATCCAAGTTAGTTAGCATATAGTGCAATAATGATTTCAGGAGTAGATTCCAGTGATCCATCCCCTATGTATAATACCCAGTGCTCATCCCAGCAAATGTCCTCCCTAATGCTCCTTACCCATTTAACCCATCTCTCCACCCACAAGCCTTACAGCAACCATCAGTTTGTTCTCTGTATTTAAGAGTCTCTTATGTTTTGTCACCCTCCCTGTTTTTATATTATTTTTGCTTCTTGTCCCTTAGGTTCATCTGTTTTGTATCTTAAATTCCACATATGAGTGAAGTCATAATATTTGTCTTTCTCTGACTAATTTCACTTAGCATAATACCCTCTAGTTCCATCCATGCAGTTGCAAATGGCAAGTTTTCATTCTTTTTGATTGCCGAGTAATATTCCAGTGTGTGTGTGTGTGTGTGTGTGTGTGTGTGTGCGTGAGCACGCGCATGTGTAAATATGTATGTGTATATATATATATATATATATATATATATATATATATATATATGCGTGCGCACGCGCACACACACACACACATACATCCCACATCTTCTTTATCCATTCATCTTTTGATGGACATTTGGGCTCTTTACATACTATTGTCAATAGCACTGCTATCAACATTTGAAACGGCACACCTGTATTCCTTGGATAAATACCTAGTAGTGCAATTCCTGGGTGTAGGGTAGTTCTATTTTTAGTTTTTTGAGGAACCTCCATACTGTTTTTCAGAGTGGCTGCACCAGCTTGCATTGCCACCAACAATGCAAAAGAGATCCTCTTTCTCACATCCTCACCAACATCTGTTGTTGCCTGAGTTTTTAATGTTAGCTGTTCTGACAGGTGTGAGATGGTATCTCATTCTGGTTTTGATTTGTATTTGCCTGCCAATGAGTGATATTGAGCATTTTTTTCATGTGTCAGTTGGCCATCTGGATGTCTTCTTTGGAGAAGTGTCTATTCATGTCTTTTGCCCATTTCTTCACTGGATTATTTGTTTTCTGGGTGTTGAGTTTGATAAATTCTTTATAGATTTTGGATACTAACCCTTTATCTGATGTGTCAGATAAGTCAGAAGATTGATTGTCTTCTCCCAT